AAGGGATCCTAACCCAATTAAATCCTTTCTAATTATTATTAACGGTAATCAATTAAATAATTAGTTCGGGTTAGAGGCCGTAACACGGGGTGTTACAAATCTTGTGCCTATACGCACGAGCAAAACGGTCAGGTTGAGCACCAGAATACACATGTTGTTGAAACTGGTTTGGTTCTCCTCGTTGAAGGCTCGGTTCCCTTAAAACACTGGGATTCTGCCTTCGAAACAGCTACCTATCTCATAAACCGTTTACCTTCATCTGTGTTACAGTTTGCTAGCCCGTATCATCGTCTATATAAATCTCTGTTGAGCATATAATATAATATAACATAAACATGAATGTGCAATCCAACTATCAGCTTAGGCTTTTAGTTGAGATGGAGCACATGCTTGAATTTGGTATCAGAGCCATGCCGAAGGTCATGGGAAAAAGGAGACTACGGTCCATGTGTTGTTTGTAGCCCATCAAAAGTATCGGCCCTCACACGTAAGGGGGCATGTTGAGCATATAATATAATATAACATACTATCAGCTTAGGTTTTTAGTTGAGATGGATCACATGCTTCAATTCCCCCTACATACACTTTCCTTCGGGTTTTTGGGTGTCGTTGTTATTCTTATCTTAGGCCTTACAATCGACACAAGATAGAGTTTCGTTCAGCACCTTATGTCTTCTTAGGGTATCCTACGTCATTTAGGGGTTACCGATGCATGAACCTTAATACTGGAAAGACCTTTATCTGTCACCATGTAAGATTTGATGAGTCTGTGTTTCTTTTTGCTACAGATTCATCTTTGTAGGGTAAGCCGCATCAATCGCGCATAATGCACCGTAGGGTTCCGGGCTTGTGGTGCCAAATACTGAACTCTCAACGGGACCAACGGTCACGCCCTTGGATCTAGAAGGTGCTGTCGTGGCTACCTCGACTAGAAGGCGTGGTTCACATGCCCAACCGCAAAAGCGGGCTCACGTCATGCGGCTTCGTCACATAACACGGGGCACTGGTGAGCAGTTCCATGCTCTAACCGCGTCTGTTGATCCCACTTGCTATTCTTAGGCTGTGGGCCATCCACAATGGCGTGACGCCATGGACCAGGAGTTCAATGCCCTGCTACGTAATAACACCTGGCGGCTTATTCCGACTGGACCGGGTATGAATATAATTGGGTGCAAGTGGGTGTACTGCACCAAACGCAAGGCAGATGGATCTGTAGAGCGCTATAAGGCGCTTGGTTGCCAAAGGGTTCAACCAAGTCGCTGGAGAAGATTTTTTTGACATGTTTAGCCCTGTAGTCAAGCCGACTACAGTACGCATGTTACTTTCTCTTGCAGTATCCCGTAGCTAGACTCTACGCCAACTCGATGTGCACAACGCCTTTCTAAATGGGCATTTGGCTGAAACTATGTTTATGTGGCAGTCACCCGGTTATGAGGATCCAACGCATCCTTATCATGTTTGTTGGCTCCAACAGTCTCTGTTTGGATTGAAACAGGCACCCCGGTCCTAGTTCAAATGTCTACACGATTTCTTATTGTCTACAGGATTTGCTGCATCCAAAATCGATGTGTCCCTTTTTCACTACTCGGCTGGCACCTCGCGGGTATTTTTGCTGGTCTACGTGGATGACATCATCATGATGGGTAATGATCTAGCCTTAATTGACACGCTTCTACTCTTGCCTCTCCTCTACCCTCAAAATAAGGGACTTGGGCACGCCCAACTTCTTTCTTGGCATTGAGACTCTGCCGGTAGACGTGGGCCTACTTCTCTCTCAGCGTCGTTATATAGATGATCTTTTAAACTGGACATGTATGTCTGACTGCAAGCCGCTTGCCACTCCAGCGGCTGTTACACAGGCTGTAGCTCCCTCGACTGAGCCATTCGATAATCCACGCAATACCGCTGCTTAGCCGGTGCACTTCAATACTTGACTATAACTCGGCCAGGTCTTTCCTATGTGGTCAACCGGTTGTGTCAGTTTATGCATGCTCCTACCAATGAGCATTGGGGGCTTCTAAAACGTGTCTTGCGTTATGTCAAAAGCACGCTCACCTATGGTCTACGCTTGTTTGCGTCATCTTCTTATGACATTCATGCGTTTTCAGATTTAGATTGGACTGGGTATCCCGTTGACCAGAAATTGACGAGTGGGTATGCGGTGTTTCTCGGTTCCAACTTGGTTTCTTGGGTATCACGCAATGAGCGGACAATTGCCCATTCTTCAACTGAGGTCGAGTACAAGGGTCTCGCCGATGTTGCGATTAAGGTCACGTAGATTGTGTCGCTTCTATGCTAGCTTGGCCTTCATTCCGGTCAGCCAGCTACTCTCTGGTGTGACAATCTGGGTGTGACCTACCTGTGTGCCAACCCCGATTTTCACACCAGAACCAAACATTTGGAAATTGACTATCATTTTATTCGGGACAAGGTGGCTTCCAGGGACTTCTTGGTTAACTTTGTGTCTACGAAAGATTAGCTGGCCGACATCCTCACGAAGCCGTTGCCAGCCACTCGGTTTGGGTCTCTGGGGGCCAAGCTCGATGTTGTCCCCCTCCAACCTTGTTCTTGAGGGGGTGTGTTAGAGATATTAGTAATATGTGGTTTTAATTAGATTGACTTTAACTACTAGCCTAATGTATATGAGTAGTTACGTATTCTATTTCCATTGTATTGTTGTATTACCAATATGATATTGAATACACAACTGAATCCTCACTTCATCGTGAGACGGGTCGTATCTAAAAACAAAATAAGTTTCAATGATGGTTATGTCCTTGGTCTTTGTCCCTTTTTAACTGCTTAATTTCTTATACATTTTGTTTTCAATGTTGTACAGTACATTTTTATTGACAAAAATATCCAATATATTATGTTACTGTTAAATGGACTAAAAGAACCGTTAAATATAATATAAAAAAGGCAAAATTCATTTCGTCCACTCATTTTCCTTTCACATTTTCTCTGATTCAACCTAATTTCTTGGCCGTTCCCGATACTGCTCATCCATATATTAATATCTCTTGGCCGTTCCCGGCGATACTGCTCATTTTCTCTACAGATTCCTCCCATCATTCATCCGCTCATCTTTCATTACCTATCTGCCATAGGGTACCTATGAGGATCTGCAATCAGCGAAATCCTCTTCATTACCTTCTCAACAGAGGAAAGAACAGTTACAATCAACGGCATTCAAGGGGTATGAACATGAATTGCGCCTCAATGTTTAAGTGGAATTACTATTGCCTTCTTTCTTCCAAATTTAATCTAAGGTAATTAATTAATATTTTTGTTAATTTCATACATTTTGATGGCTGTCATTGAAGGTTCAAATACATAATTTCAAAAATTTGCCAATCAAATTAGTTATGAATTTCTTGATTTATTACTTTATTTAGTTTTGGAATATTGCTTGATTTTAGGATGTATGTAGCTATTTAAACTGCTTCATTGTACACTGAAAGCACCATCGAATAATTCCATGCTTTTATTTTTTCTTTCTCTAAAACTTTAGTATGTTATTTCACCCTCTTTATCTCTTCTCCGCCACCTTCAGGTTCTTACTTCCCCTATTTATTCCCATTGTTAGATGGATAGTGATGCTTAGAGTTTGTAGTATTTAACTCTTTATGACAATGTGGAAGTCTTGAAATTTGCTTTATCTTTGATATTTTCATTTTTGTTTGATCCAGGGGTAGGAATAATAAAAAGATCAAATGTTTAGGTAGAGAATTGAATTCTGGTTGTTAAGGTTTCGGTTTCACTGTTTGTAATGATTCTAATGTTCTTGCTTTAACTTTTGCTCATTCTTTATTAGCTTTGTAGATTGGTCAATTGATGAGTGGGGATAAAAGGAATTAATTTAAAGTTTTCTTTGTCCATGCCTCTGGTAACCCTATAGGCCACAGAGAGTTATGGTTTTCAGTGTTTGTATATCATTAAATAGAAATATAGAATATTGATTTGAGTGCCGACCTGTCTATTTTCTGTCACTGTTGGAATCTTTAGTTTTCTTATGTTTGGAATTTTGACAGTTGATGGTCGTGGCTCTTTGTTCTGACAAACATGGATGATTTTAAACTTTTGTTGCTTATTCCCAGATTCTGTTCAATTCATTTCCTAAAAAATTTCTTAATATGTCTTGAGCTACATTGTTTGAATGAATTTACACTCCCTAAAGTGAAGGTTTATCGCAACAAATTAACTGAATTCCTTGCTGATAACTTTTTTCAAGAGTAACAAAAGACGGTATTTCCATGAAAATATAAAAAATCTTTTTTCTTTCAACAAGTATTAGTGATATGATCATAGTTTTAAGGCGAACCAAACTTTTATGTTTCTTTCTGATATGCTAAGAATGTTGTATAGTTTTGATGCTTATGTAGTTATATCACTTCTTGTAGTATCTCCCTCCCCTATGGCGCACATGCTTTCATGAATATCTTATAGTGCCACACATTTTCATAACATATATATATATATATATATATATATATATATATATATATATATATATATATATATATATATATATATATATATATATACAAAATATTTTTTCAGAAATGGAATCTCACCTTTTAATCCCTCAAATCACAACTAAGATAAAACAATGGAGTTGTAAAGTTTGTGTTATTGAAAAGTTGAACACAAGAGAGTCAAAAACCAAACCTGAAAACTTGTACAAACCTATACCATTTCAAGATGAAGCGGTTACTCCTTTTATCATTTTGAATTTTAAACATAATTATATTATGCATATGTTAGGATTATAAATATTTGTTATATTTTATTGACATCTATTTTGAAATATAATTATAGGGCAATACAGTTCATGGAATGACTTATCAAAATGATATTGAACTGCTTGATGAAAGGCTCAAGTTAAACTCCACATATATTATCTCTAATGCATTAGTCTCTCGTGCTAATGGATTTTTCAATGTTCCATATGAGAGATATAGGTTTGTTTGGTCAATTAATAGGAAAACTCTTATACAAGATGTCAATGATGATAAAAAATTGGATTTGCAACCTTCTTCTGACATGGATACAAAATCATTTGGACAATTGTATGCCTACAAATCTAAAAGACAAGCAATCAGTGAGTTTTGATTCTTTCCATGTGTTAAATAATATTTTTAACATATTGTGTCAATCTAATTCTAATATTATTTGTAGATATCATTGGAGTTGTGATTTCTAAACTACCAAGAGAATTTATTGTAACCAACATGAGATGACAACAAAAAGCTAATGATTTTGTGATGGTTGATGAAGGGTATGTTTATTGAATTTATTTAACTTTGAAAGTCTTTAATTGTCTATTATAGCTTGGAAGGAAGCATGATAATTTTATACTTTATTTTATGTTTTCTTGCATTGTGTAACAACAAATAAAATATTATTGTCAACTAAGTTTGCCATGATCTATTTATAAATTCCTTATTAATTTCCTAGGCTTAAACCTATCATTTTCACAATGTGGGAAATTTTACGGTTTATCAAGGGGTTGAAATTGACAAAGAACTCCAATCAGGAGATTATCCAGTTGTTCTCGGAAAAAAGGATTATTGTCACCCCATATCAAGGTTTGTATGCAATCTTAATATTCATTTCGATAAATTAATTATGAAAGAGTGAGTATCAATAAAATGATCAAGTATTAAATGAGGTTGTTAGAAAGGGTAAATTTTTGCAGCATGAATAATTTTCTTATAAATTAATTGCAATTCATATTTTTATGCTGCAAAAATATATGCGCAATATTGGTTTAAAGGTTTAAATTACAAACCAAATATTGTAATTTCAATATTAATTTTAGCTTGTTTATAGTTCTAATAAGAGTCCAACTTGTATTCCATATTTTCATGTTCGTGTTGCACCCTTGCCTAGACTTATTTATACTGTAATATGTTGGAGAGAACTATGAACATTGAAATAAGATGTACTGAGTATTATGTAGTTAAGTATTGTATCAATGTGAGGACTTTAAAGTCAATTATGGAGACTGCATTCTGGATGTTCTATTGTGTTATACGGAGTTAAATTTTTTATGTAGTAGTCAAGCCTTTTATGCTCATTTCTTTAACTAAAAATTAAATCGCCTCATTAAATCCATGCAAGTCATAAATTTCATCCTTCTAACTCAAATTCTACCGGTAGGATGAAAGGAGGTACTTGTCATTTTCCTTATCAAGTGTGTTTAACATGTTAAATAGAAATTTCCTTATTTACAAGATCTGATTCTGGTGTAGAAGTGAATCTGTTTGGCAAACGTGCCGAGGCTCTTAAAGAATGGTAACCTAAATTCATCTTTTGTCATTCAAACGTTCTGCTAAATGGTTCTATGTTGTTGATAGGGCGAAGACTAATTCTTTGGTTATTCAAAGATCGATTGTTGAAAAAGCACATAACAATGCTATTAGTGAATTGGCAATCCCTCTAGATAAACAAATATCACCAATTTCAAATTTAAAAAAGTCATTTGAGTAGGTTTCTCACTAATGTTAGACCCTTTTATTGTTTACATTTTCTTTTTAACTTTTTTTTTCTCACTTTTATTTTGTTATTTGTATGCATATGTTCAAAATTAAGTAAAAGCAGTCTGGGTTAAATCAAAGATCACACTCATAGACAACGGAAATCCTACCTACTACATTGGTTGCAACTATTGTGATAAGAAAATTAATTGTAATGAAGGTATTAAATTCCAATGCATGTTTTGTGGTCATGCGAATGCAATTTCTATCAAGAGGTAAATCATAACTCTTCAACGTACTTGTACACATCCTTATAGTGTTATTATATTATCTCATAGTAATCATGAGGCATTTTTTTTTACAGATACAGATTAATTGTTGAGCTATTTGATGACACAGATAGAATTGAAGCAACAATGTTTAATCATCATGTGGATAAGTTATTTTCTTTAACAGAAACAGAGAATGGAAATGATGGCTTTGATTTTCAAAAGCTCCAAAAAAAACTTGATACGCATACTTTTGCAGTTGAGCTTAGGTGTGAACACCAAAATCGGGGAGGAATGACAACAACTTACACAGTTGCATCTCTTGTGAAGATATATCAACTTCATCAATTACCGGTACTAAAAAAAAACTTGCATTTGGAGAATCTAGCACTCCGGTGGACGATTCAACAAATTTACTACCCTCAAATGTTGACAATCACAATGTGAGAGAAAAATATCCCATACTTGAGTGATATTGTGATTTCTAATTATGAAGTCTTTATGATACTTTTCTGCTATTACAAGAATCCATGACTCAAGTGTCTATATATATATATATATATATATATATATATATATATATATATATATATATATATATATATATATATATATATATATATTCATATGTGAACTTGAGGACTGATATGAGCCTTGTATTTTAATTTATGTACGGATCTGATTTTAATAGTATTATCATTCATTTCCTTTTTGTGTTTTGCATTATTTTGTATAATTATTTATAAAATTGGTAATTTATTTATGAAAAAATTAAATGATCCATTAAAGATGGAAGAAATTTTGATCAAAATAGAAAATAAAATTCCCCAGCTACCAAAGAAAGGTAAAAGGATGAAAAGAAGAGAGAATTGATCTAAAGGATCGCCAGAATCACGAGTGAGACTAGCTATTTCTTCAAAGAGAAAGGAGAGTTTCAGGAGAAAAGAGAAGGAAAAGGGCGAAGCCAGAAAATGATCATTAATAAGAGGGGTACTGGATCACGAAAAGTCAGGGATGATAATTTGAGTAGATAAAAGAGAAATCTGAAGTTATTATTAGTGGTCCAGGATATGGTAATGTTCCCAATGCAGTGGAGGGGGAATTAGTTGCTGCTGGTTGGCCTTCTTGGCTTTCTATAGGAGATGGATGATCCCGAGTGACTTGACAGTCGCGAACAAGATGAGAAAAAAAGAGAATAATAGTCGCGAACAAGAAAATACACGCAGAAAAATATCAAACGCGGACGAGAAAAGCAGAGAGAGAGAGAGAGATTGAGATCAAGCAACGACACCTGCACAGATCAGATCATAGTTTGTATATGTACCATCTCATATTTGCTGCATTTTCACTCTCCCATGTCACCGACACCTTGCTAACATACGCGCCGCCACCTCTCCCCGCCAGGTGAACTGCCTTCCAACTTCTATACCTCTGCATTTCTATCTGTGTTTTGTTCTATTTGTTGAATCTAAGTGTAAATCTATCTTACTTAGTGACATACTGATACTCTTATTATTGTGAAGGTGTTGTTATAGCGGTAACTAGTGACAAGGTCAAACATTGTTTGGGCCGGGTTTGGCATGAGTCATGGCTGGTATGGGTCGGGCTTGGCATGGGTTACGGTTGGTATGGGCCGGGCTTGGCATGAGTCATGGTTGGTGTAGGCGGACTGCTCGGGAAGAAGCGGTTCGTGAACATGCATTGGGAAACGTTTGATGCTGCGTAGTGCATGGTGCAAGCCAATGGCAATTGCTGGTTAGTGGAGCATTGGACAAGGCACACAGTTTAGTATGACTTTGCAGGGGCACTATACCAAGAAGGGACATGGACCTAGTATAGGCCAGATGCAGGAGGTCAGTTGAACGGGGTAGTTAGCATGAGTCGCGGCTGGTATAATAAGTCGACGACTGAGGGCGAATGGCTTAGGACAAAGCGGTTCGTGTACATGCACCGGGAAACGTTTGATGCTGCGTGGTGCATGTAGCTGGCTAGTTGGGATGAGCATGGTTATTCCTACCCATGTGTATATGTGAGATAAATCTTTTCTCTTAAAGGGCATATTTGTGAAGGTGGAGATGGTGAGATAAGTCTTTTCTCCTAAAGAGCATATTCGCCAAGGTGGAAATTATTGAGTTTGTCACATATAGGGATTAGGAATATGAGTTTGTCTCATATCAGGAATAGGAGTGAAACAGGTAGACCCATTGTACAGGGACTAGATGCTTATGAATATATTGGTTGTATCCCTAAGGAGTTGCATCACCACGATCACTGTCACTATGAATAAAAGAATAGTTTTACTTCCGTGGATGTAGGCATATTGCCGAACCATGTAAATCTTGTCTTCTTTATACTTTCTGCCATTATTATTGTTTCTTGTTCCTGTTAATCTAAAAAACAGATACCCGTTCTTTTCAGGTAGATTAATACCCCATGATGCCCATGATTTCACCTTCAATGGAGTGTTGGAGACAGGGGCGGAGCTATAATAGGGGCAGTTGCCCCCACCGCCTATATATATAAACTTGGGCTTAAACGTGAACGTGTGCACTCGTACTAACCGTTCATTCTTTTTTGATCGACGTACACAAACGGGAGTGCACCGCTGCTATGTGCACTCAATCCACTAGATCGTTGCCCGTGTAGATTGGATTTTTGTGTTTTAGTTCTTATTCGACTCTTCCTCTCAATCTTACTCAACCCGTGCCTGTCGATCGAGCTAATCCTCCGAACCCCACCCGTTAAGGAACTTGGTCGGCTCATCCTAGGCTGGACTTTTCTCGAGTGCAATATCCATGGTAGATCTCAAAATAGTCGTCCATGGTTGTCTCTCTTAAAATTGGTGCTTGTAGTCTAGGTGTTCATAAACTCAGAGTTATCAAACATTCTGCCTAGAAATTGCACAATGGGTGTTTAACCAAAATTGCAGATACAGTAATAATCTGAATAATCGTGTTATCTACTTATCTTAATAGTTATTAGTTAAGGGGAGTAAATACTGCAGTAGGTCTGTTTTTGAGTTTGAAAACGTAGTTAGGGGTCACTTGGTGGTTGGGATGGATTCTGCATGATTGAAAACACTTAGGGGAATGAAAACATGAAGAGTGTGGGGCAACACTGCCAAGCTAGTGCAACAATGCCTAAACTATTTTAATATAGGATTAGACTTCCAAAATGGGATTTGGATTCAAAAACATAATTATTTGTACATGATTCCGTCTCATTTATCGGGATAATAAACTTCAGAATTTTCATATTAGGATATTTGACTTCTAATATCATGCTTTTGCCTTTTGGTTGCTTGTGTTCTATTCTAGTACTATTGTAGTGTCTAGGTACTGCAGACGTAGAAAATGGTTTTTGCCCAAAATTATTATTGGTATTAGTAATAATGAGTTTGGTGCAGATCATGTGCTTGGGTGCGTACTTGGACTCTAAGATGCAGGGGCTTCGAGCTGCACGCCTTCAAATGATGAAACCAAAGACGATGCAGATGGCTTGGAGGGATACCACGTCAACGTCGGAATCTGGGATCTTCACTATGCGGCACATGGAGGCATACGCTGGACAGAGCTGTGCGAGCTGGGATACGGGCCTGCAACGAGAGAATGCCATGCAACTACTCAACTTATGCAAGCGCTACATGCATAATATCCTTCTCAGCGTGGTTAACGCCCATACAAACAGTATTCAACGCGTGTTGCAGGGTTTTAACGTAAAAGATTGGTGCAGCTGCATCGGTGATCAGGTTGGGGTGTCAGCTTGGAATAAATTTTGGTAGTAACTGAACCTCAAATCTGGGGGTTTTATTTACATTTTTGTGGCAATAGCAGGTATGGCGTAGCTCTAGTCGCATGCTTGAATGTTTTGGTTAGATTATCTTAGTCGTTGGTGGAATTGAATACTAGTTCTATTATTAAGGATGGTGCAGTGCATTTGATTTACTTCGTCTACTATTTTATATCTGATTTCGCTTGTTAATTATCTTATTAGGGGTCTATACATGCAACTGGTTTTGTAATCAATATTCGTTTGATTATCCGTATACTGGTTTGCAATCCGGGGTCTTGCGAATGATTCAATTTTAAACATTTATTGTTGTATACCAATACCAAAACGAGGTTGTGCAACTCATGTGGGATATCCATGCACTTAGTTTTAATATTAGTTAATGATGATTTGTACTACGTCGTAGTCGTACAATGAAAGTGTGTAAATAATGATGACATCTTCAGATAAGTGCCTGGTGAAAATTTTATTGCACATTAGAGCTTGATAAGTCGCTAATCACATTTGGACCAGTTAGCATCACTGCAGTTTAAATTAGTTGCCATTATCGTTAGTTAGTACAGCCAGTTGAACCAAAAGTTGAAGGGGATAAAAAATCTGATGTAATTAAAATGGGGTCAATGTTTTACAAGCCCAGGCAGTACTAAATGGAATCTACAAAATACGCTTAATCCAGAAAACAGAGCAGTAAATAGATTCTAAAGTAGGTGGGAATAAAAATAAAACAATTTAAACACACTACAAATTTTCAAACAAGTTACTTTGAAGGGAAACTACGTGCGTTATGGCATGCGTATTTACCACAAATCCCGCACTTCCGGCCGACTTTCACATTTTTCTCAATTGCTATCTCCCTGCTACTTTTTATACGCTTCCCGATGCCTTTGTTCTTCGCTTGGGGGGGGGGGGGGGGGCTTGGATAGTTATGGATTGTAGTGGCTCCACGCCGTATAATGCTTGTATTGCAGCACGGTTACCCTTAACAGGGCTCACATTTAGGCCGTCACTACCAAATTCAGCTGTAAGACACTTTAGTACCGAGACCATCCGTGTCTGCCGCTCTAGGCTATTACCCGCCAACACAACGCACGTGTTTATCTCAGCCACAGTTGGGTTGCTACGGGTGGTGGGTTATCACTTGCAGATGGTACCCCCTACAGTTAAGGTGCTTGTACCACCGGTTCACAATATATTCGGGTGGTAACTGTTCCAACTGTGCACCCCGGAAAACCACAAACATATTTCAACAGACGAGGCTGATTCTTCTGAACAAGTTGCAACTGCAAGACGTTCCAACACCGCCTGCCTTGTAGTGCACAGTCACAATAATGTTGTGCTCACCCTCAATGTCGTAATGAGTGCTACCCCCATCGTGTCGTACACCGACCACAGAACAATAAAAACAAGCTGCTTTTATTTCTTTCTGTAACTCGTAAAAAATAGTGATTGTGAACACCTGTGCAATATGCTGCTAGAGTGCTAATGGCGTTTTGAACTTTGGCAGGTAACCCTCGCACTCTGCGTTCAGTTTATCTTGCTGATAGCGTTGTGTTCCCAACACGCTCTCAAATTGCATGTAGAACACTACCAAACTAGAATGGGGGTGTGCGAATCTACCGTATACACCATTCTCTGCTTCTGACCGCGATGTGGTTCGCAACAGCCCACTCATGGGAAGATCTGAAAAAAAAGCTGGGATCCAACTCTCCCTTTCAGCAAACATTTTGCAAAACCAACGGTGGTTTGATAGATTGTATTCATCCATTAGTAGTTGCCATTGCGCCTCAAATTCAACACTGTGAATTCCCTCGTTCGAGACAATAGCATTTAGTTTCTTGCGAAACTCTGTGACCTTAGCTAACTCACCCCCGAACTTTTCATTAACCTTTGTCATGATGTGCCACATAAAGTAGCGATGGCGGCACTCCGGTAATACTTGTTGGATAGCAATTCTCGTCGCTGAGTTTTGGTCTGTCACGACGCACATTGGGGTCTTGCCCATTGCACATGTAAATTTCTCTAACAGCCAGCTGTATGAGTCAACATCTTCCTTTGTGAGCAATCCGGCCCCAAAAGTGATGCATCGTTTGTGGTTGTCCACACCAGTGAACGGCACAAACACCATACTATACCTGCACAATTAAAAGGGATCTGTGATTTTCTAACCGGCTAATACTATTATCATGCCACATATACTATACATGTAATGCATCACCCGCATGTATGCAATACCAAAATCTGGCAGGAAATAAAAAGTGGCAATCACGTAGGTTAACAAATAATATTCTCCACCACTACCTTAATAATTATGTGCAGAAAAAGATACAAAAATTCATTGAATAAACAAATCCCATGTTACGTAAGTATCAATTCATTATTAAATAAAACTATTATTGTGGTATCTAATTAAACAAAAATCAAGAGTTGGCAGGAAGTATTTTTATTCCAACGTAATTTAACAAATAATAATTCGGTCAACAAAAATGCTATACCAATTCACATACTGTTTAGGGGATCAGTCCGAACACCAATGAAAACAAATGAATTGGAAATCAAATTGCAACCCCATACTTATTTGTTCCATAGGTTGCATCGAATGAAATGTTATCACCATAGCAAGAAAATGTCTGCCTACCGAGGGGGTCAGCCCATAACAGTCTCGTTAGCCGGTTTTCTTCGTCCAGATGGTAATAAAAAAAAGAAGTCACTACAGACATCATGCTTGGCTCTTGATGTTGCAATAATCATCTCACCATCAGCTACATCAACGTACGTTTGGACGTCCCATTTGAAATTATGGAATTCCACGTCGGTTGCACCGACATTTGCATACGACCCAGTTGCCTCCTTGCAAAACCGCAGCCCGGTTGAAGCACCAATGTTAGCCCTAATACAATTACCTAAAAAAGCTTGTTTATCCGCAGGAATAGTTTAGACGACTCCGAGCATAGCTTGTTGGTATGTTCCTCAACAAAAACGGGCACAACGAACTCCCTGAAACCTTTTTTCTTAAACCCGATTCTAGCTCCGCAATTAACCCTATTTGAAAGCCGACGGTGGCGCTCCCGCTTATCTCCACCACCTACAACCCGTTCATGACGTATCATACCACTTCCTTTGACCCCTTGCCGACTGCACACCAAATACCGTGAGTAGATAACTCCAGCTCGGTCTCGCTTCACGCTACTGCAACGGACGTCAAACTCTATTCGGGCATAGTTGGTGTAGTGTTGGATGCCCTCGTTTAGTGTTTTGAATACACGCCCCACCGCTAGCAATACTGAAACTTCCACAGCAGGCGTCTATTGCTGGTCGTCACTTGGGGTTAACCCCGCCGTAAAGCCAAGGATGGGCTCTGCTTCCAGGATCATCGCTCGGTCCCCTGTACAAACACGGGTCAATTGTTACGAGGGTAAAAAACAAACAATGTCGGGAGCCATGCAGCGAGGAAGAAAAACACGCGGAGGAACCTGTTTATGCACAAGCATTGGAGTCGCCCATCGTCACTCCTCGTCGGAACAACCACTGTTGGTGAAGGATGGGACGTCAGCACCGTAAACAATGCGAGAAATCAGTAGTGTATGGATTGTCGGATTCTTATCACACACGATTGGGGATGTTACGTAAATAGAACGGGTTATCCCATGGTGCGTGGTGCAGCATACCCCTTTGCACTACCAACGTCTGGGCCCTATGATCAAACATATCTACGATCCATGTTGGTACACTAGTTCACACGTTATTAATGGTTCGCAACAGAAAAATAGCCTATATATATATATATATATATATATATATATATATATATATATATATAGTTTAGTTTTACGTATAAGTATAAGCATACAAATAAAAGTTAACAAAAGATGACTTAGTTTAGCTGGGCACATTTTTGACTTTCTAAAGGTTGAGGAATTGAATCCTTCCATGGCTCAATCATTTTGTATTCTAACTATTTTATCAAATTAATTATGTTTCATATTTTGTTATGAATATTTTTATAAAGTTTTGATATGTTTTATTTTTACTCATATCCGATAATATTTATGACTATACTTCTTAAGTGTTGTATTTGTGACTCCTTAGTAGCCTCGGCTGTTGTTTTCCAAAAATAAGCGAACCCGGATTATCCCAAAATTCTCCCTCACAAAGAGAGCTCATTTGCCACTTGAGCTACCCCGTTGGGTTATTACACTTTAGTTTCATTTGATAATATTGCTCTGTTCTTCAGGTTCATTTTTCATTCACACTAGCTTCATTATAGAAATACCAAAGTATCATTTTAATTCTACTCCAGCTTCGTTTGACAATATACATTATTGCATGAGGTCTATTTTGTAGTTTCATTTTCTACACACACTAATTTTTTTTTATTATTTTTGAAAACAAAAGATAACCATATATTAAATCAAATGTGAAATACAACTAGGAGGGAAAGAGTTCCAGACTCCAAGAACAGAGGAAGAATCAGTTGCCCATGCAAGCACATAAGCCACGTGATTCGCTGACCTAGATGTTCCCAATGTCACTAGCAATTAACCGACACTGCTTAATAATCAAACCATCCAACATGAGAACAGTCTTGTCTGATAGAATTGTAACTAGTGCAAAAATTAAGGCAATCAATCTCCACAATGTAGCTATTCACCGGACGAGATTTAATCCACGATAGAGCTTCTTTGACCGCCATGGCTTCAGCAAGAAAAAGATCATCATTACAGCGAAATTGCCCAAAAGTTGCTCTATCTGCATGTATTGCGGCATCGACATTGCACTTCAAAACTCTAGCAGGTGGCGGAGCCCAGGATGAAACATCGTTGTGCTACTACAAAGAACAAGTAGGTGACAGCAATAACTCTAGCCATGTTGCAAATAACACCTCTCTCTGTAGTTCTCATGGAGACAACCATATCAATTAGATAATTTAATGATCAAACGGAAATTATGTTTGGATATGGAGATAATTTGGTGTTGCAATGCTCACATTTGAAACTGAGCCCGACCTCTGAAAACGTCAATGCTCCTTTTCCAGCTGCTGCTGCAACTCCAAGGCCTACTGTGACCGCATCAACACATTCCTACACATATAACATTCAATAGACAAGAACATAGATTAGTGAACATTGTCAAAGCAAAACGCAGTTCAAGACAAATGGACAAGAAATTCCATATTAACTAAAAGTTTAAACTATTAGTCAAAATACACATTTATTATTTATATATTTATCCTCAAAATGTAGCAAGGCTCATATTTTCACTTATTCAATCAAGAAAATGAACTAAATACTAACTGCTTATTTATATATTTATCCTCAAAATGTAGCAAGACTCAGATTTCCACTTATTCAATCAAGAAAAAGAACCAAATACTGACTGTTTATTTATATATTTATCCTCAAAATGTAGTGTTAGACATTATATGGTAGAATAATATTTGATATGATCTCAGTATAATATCTTAGGGATAGTGTGTATAATATCTTAGGGATATTATTGATCCTTACCATAGTTAGTGTGCATAGCCTAGTATAAATATGTGTATCCTCTTGACTCAATAGTATGGAATACAGAGATTAGAACATGGTATCAGAGCCACATAAAGAAAAAAAAAAACACAGAAATTTTTTTTCCTCTTTCTGCTTCTGCGCACGGTGGAGGTTTGGGTCGGGATTGTCGCCGGCCGTTTGTCGTCACCACCATCAGGAGCAGAGTCGCCGATCGCCGATAGGCCGGACTGCTGAATTCAACGTGATTTCGCCCGGCGAGTGGCCCTCACGCGCCGCCTTCGTCCCTCGCCGGCTGTCCACGCGCCGGCGCGTGTGCGTCACTCCGGCGCCGGAATCCACTCCGGTCTACTTTCCTGAGGTCGACCGGTCTTCTACGTCGCTGCTCTAGGCTCGGTTTTGGCATTGGAGGTCCCGGTAATATCCCTCTTATTTTTTGCTTTGCAAGACAGTGAAGTTGTGTGGCTGTTTGTGTGTTTGTTGTGGCTTAGAGGTCTGATTCTGGAAGTTTGGTTGTCTGATTTGAGATATCTTCTTGTTGGATAGCCTAATGTCTGAGCCTAAGTCTATAGTTGTGTCCGATATTCTTCCAGTTAATGCAAGAATCACAGAACACAAATTAAATGGCTCAAATCATTTGGATTGGAAACGAACCATTAAAATATATCTGCGTAGTATTGACAAAGATGCCCATATGACTGCCACCCCACCCGAGGATGACAAAGCTAAGCAAACTTGGTTGCGTGATGATGCTAAATTATTTCTTCAAATACGGAACTCAATTGAATCTGAGATATTTGGTTTTGTTAGTCATTGTGAAACTGTCAAAGAGCTCTTAGACTATCTTAATTTTTTGTATTCGGGTAAGGGCGACATTATTCGAATCTATGATGTTTGTAAGGCTTTTTATAGGGCCGACATGCTTGACAAACCTCTGCAGACTTATTTTATGGAGTTCAAGAAAACAAATGAGGCTCTTAATGAATTAATGCCATTCACAACGGATATAAAGGTGCAGCAGCAACAGCGAGAACAAATGGCCATCATGAGTTTTTTGGCTGGTCTTCATCCTCGACTAGAACCAGCCAAGTCCCAGATATTGTCCAGTGAGGAGCTCAAGTCCCTATCTGATGTATTCTCTAGAGTATTACGTACAGAGACCTATCAACCCCCTCAGTCGAGTAGTGTTCTTGTCAGTCAGAAGTCAAAGGGGGGGGGGGGGGGGGGCATGTGAAGTCGTCATATCACAATAGGGATCCTCATGGCCAGCAGTATAATCCAATCATTTGCCATTACTGTCAGAAACCGGGGCACATGAAGAAGGATTGCCGAAAGCTTCAGAATAGAAATCATGGCAATCGGTCTGCCAATATGGTGTCTTCTGATACTCATGGTGAGAAAACGGTTGTATTTTCTGTAGATGAGTATGCTAAGTTCCTGAAGTACCAAGAATCCTCATCATCTCCCTCAACTGTAGCGGCTGCCACCTCAGGTAATCCCAACACTTGCCTCGTCTCTTCAGCTTCCAAATGGGTTATTAATTCGGGAGCCACGGATCATATGACAGGTAACTCTAACCTCCTATCTACCTTTCAATCTTCTCCTTCAACTTCCCATGTCACTCTAGCTTATGGATCCACTTCTAGGGTGCTTGGGATTGGCACTGCTAATCCGACTCCTGATCTCCCGTTATCCTCGGTCTTGAGCCTTCTCAACTTGTCTTTTAATTTGATCTCTGTTAGTCAAGTCACTAATGCTCTAAATTGTTCCATAACCTTTTTTTCCACTCACTGCATGTTCCAGGATCTTACGACGAAGCAGATTATTGGTAAAGGGCATGAGTCTGGTGGCCTCTATATTCTTGATTCCAGTATACCGAGAACTGTTGCCTGCTTTGGGATGGGTACTCCGTTGGAAGTCCATTGTCGTTTAGGGCACCCATCCTTACCATTGTTGAAAAAGATGTATCCGCAATTTAGTAAGGTGTCCTCTTTAAATTGTGAGTCTTGTCAATTTGCTAAACATCATCGAGTTAGTTTAAGTCCTAGAGTCAATAAACGAGCACGTGCTCCTTTTGAGTTAGTTCATTCTGATGTTTGGGGTCCATGTCGTGTTATGTCCAAAACCGGGTTTCGGTACTTTGTTACTTTCGTTGATGACTTCTCTCGCATGACTTGGTTATATTTTATGAGAAGTCATTCTGAATTATTTTCCCATTTTCGTGCTTTTTGTGCTGAGATACAGACACAATTTAATATACCTGTTCGTGTATTGAGAAGTGACAATGCTAAAGAGTATTTTTCTGAACCCTTTTCCTCTTATATGCTTGAACATGGAATTTTACATCAATCTTCCTGTGTTGACACCCCATCTCACAATGGGGTTGCTGAACGCAAAAAACAGGCACTTACTAGAAACTACTCGGGCTCTCCTGTTCCAAATGTGGGTTCCAAAACATTTTTGGGCTGATGCAGTCTCTACTGCTTGTTTTTTGATCAACCGTATGCCGTCTTCGGTCTTACATGGTACAACACCCTATCAGTGTCTTTTCCCTCACAAATTTGTATTTCCTATTCCACCAAAAACATTTGGATGTACTTGCTTTGTGAGAGATGTAAGGCCCCATATCACGAAATCAGATCCTAAATCTTTAAAGTGCATCTTTTGGGATATTCTCGTGTTCAAAAGGGGTATAGGTGTTATTGTCCGTCAACGGGAAGATATCTCGTGTCTATTGATGTAACCTTCCATGAAGATGTTTCATTCTCACCTTTTTCAAATTCAGAAAGCCATGGCGACAGTGATGATGATATTCTCATCTATACGGTTACCACCGCTTCCGCTTCTATTCCACCTTCCCGACCACCAATCACTCAAGTATATTCTCGTAAACACCAGTCTGTTCCAAAAGAGGTTAACCCGAATCCCGACACTACTTTGGTTCCTGACAATACGCCAGATTCATGTCCTGAGCCGGATTCTTCGTCGTCTGATCCAACTATTGTAACACCCCAGATTTTCAAGACATTTTAAGCTTATATAATAAAGGTAAAATCTCATTACATCCCAAAGTATATCATAAGTGTACGGGGTGCTATGCCACACCTGGGCTAGAGAACCCAGGTGCACAGGCTGTCTAACTAATATCCATTGGAATACAATGCATAATATGGCACGCAGGCCGAAAGGGAAGCTAATCTACTTCTATGCTCTAGTTCTAGCGCGCTCCAGTGCTCTAGTCCTCTGTGCCTGAAAGCCAAATATATCTGTTCAGCGAGAGATGCTGGTAACCCACTCCAACGCGTTGAAATACAATACATATAGAGATATATATAGATATACGAAAACCATTTTGAGCATGAAGATATATCCTACGAACTCTAGCTTTAAAACCGGGAATGACTCGACAGATAAGGCCAGACACAAGCAACAGTTATAACGAGCGTATGCAGTTCACAACAGATAAGGCAGATAAGGCAAAGCATAAACAATGATCATAACCCAACATGAACAATTCCCAATATAAATCCCATAGTCACATCCCCCAAGACACTCGTAATCACAACTCGTCCATGTCACAGCACATAACACACTTTGTTGGCGCCACAGGACCAATCGCATGCCCATACATGAGGGTCAGCGCATATAGCTCTGACACGGCCCCGCAGCACCCTGCCCCGTATCGCAACACGGAGGGGTCGATCGCAACCGACCGATGAACCGCAGCTCATCATAGTGTTTGATCGCAACCAAACAGTGGACCGCAGCCCAAGAGAATGTCATCTGACCGCAGCCAGGAAAAAGGACGAACCGCAGCTCGTATAGAAACATTTGATCGCAACCAAACGGTGGACCGCAGCCCAAGAGTATCAATCTGACCGCAGCCAACTTCTGAACCGCAGCTCAGGATAACCAATCCGATCGCAACCGAATTGGGGTAACACACACACATAACACATAGCAAGCACATGCAACCCACATTACACATTGGGAAGGGGGAGGAAGCGTATAACAAAACCTATGCGTGATCCATCACATACTAAGAATAGTCCTAAGGGGTTCATACTTCTTCCACCTAGGTCAACGGGATACCAATTCAACTAGCATGCAATATAATAGACTCGTAAACCTATAAACGGCACCCGAAATATCAAACTAGACATAGGCACGATAAACGGAGTCCGTTGGGACACCACGGGGAACGGGGGAACATCAAACGGGGAAGCTGGGATCCCGAGGTGGGATAATTTCCAGCGTGTAGCCGGTGGGTGGGGGGCCACCCGCCGGATGATACTGTTCCGGGCAGCGGGTCGCCGGCGGGCAGCTGCCCGCCCGCCGGCCACCCGCTGCCGGGCGGTATTTCTCGGCCGTGGGTAGGTGGCGGGTCCCCTACCCCCCACTGACTCTTTTCATCACTTTACGCACCGGGAACCGTTGTGAAACCCGAAACCATGCTTAGACACTTTACAACGCAATTAACGATAACACGTAGACAATTAACGAATCAAATACAAGAAACGGACGGCACATAACCTATCATGCTTTTCTAAATATAATCAACACCCAAACATGCGATTTCCCCACCCGATAATCCAAGAATAAGATCATACGATACAACCTAGGGTTCTAATCACTTTTATATCAACAAGTATACGGTTCGTCTTCT